CTATTTTACTTTATTTTATTACTTTGTACATCAAATATATTTTAATTTTATTTCAGTTATTTTTGAAGCATTTTGACTGTATTTGCAATAAAAGTATATATTATTACAGCTATTTGTAATAAAAGTATGAATTGTTAAAACTATGTAGTTGTAAAAAATATATGGTAAAAAAAAAAAAAAAAGACCAACATGTAGAGGCAATTCTGCGGTGTGTGTGGGGAGTATTATATTCCCCCCCAAAAAAGGCAATTTTCAAGAGTTAGTTGGTTTTTATAAGAATATAGTCGTTTAGTCGGGTGTTTTTCGGTTGATATTTAGTTTTCATAGCTTTTTTTTAAAAAAAAAAAGAAAGGAGTGTTGGTACTTTTTAAGGATTTGCCCTAACTCCCTTTTTTTTATTCCTAGTTTTGCTTTTGAAATTTCAAGAGCGGTAGTCCTTGCCTTGTCACCTTCAACTATGCACAATAATTCTGTTACAACAATTAGCAACTCAGCGGTAGAACGAGAAGATCGAAATCCGTATTGATTCAGAGAGTTATTAGACTAAAAATGAGATATTTAGAAATTTGTTGATGAGTTTGAAAATATGAGAAATTTGTTGATTAAAGACTCAAAGACCTTGTAATAAGACGATTGGATAGATGGAGGGGTCATAGAGTTTTTTAAATTTGGAACGATATAGGTAATAAGATCAGACCCATGTAATGAAAAATTGAATGTTAAACTCACCTTTGTTAACAACCCTGTTAAGGTGGAATACTCCTCAGAAATATAAAAATTTTGAAAAAAATATTATTTTGTGAAAAATTCTCTAGATCTTTATTAAACTAGAATTTATTAAACCCTAGAAATTTTAACTTCCATAACAACCCCCATAGCAACAGCACTTTTTTTTTATCCTAACAAAAAGATTCTCCTAAAATCTTATTTTTCTGTTTAGAAAATGTACTAAAAAAAGAAATTTTATTTTCTACTGTTTAAAACCACTTTAGAATAAAAGCAATTACTGGAATGCCCATTTTTAATCTTTTAAAATGGTTAAAGCTTGTAGAGTTAAACAAAGAACTAAAGGAAATAAAAGGAAAAAAATATATTATGAAACAAAGAAATTAATTGTAAATAGTGTGGATATGGATGTAAATAATAGCAATGTAAATATAGAATCAAATTGTGTAGATACGAATGTTAATATTACTAAAGGTGTTGAAGATATAAATGTAAATATGATGAGAACTGTTGATTTTAATTTAATTGGTTCTGATCAAATTAGTGCTTCTGCTAAAAAAATTAAAAACATTTTATCATCAAGACCCATAATATCGAGTAGCTTAATTACAGGATACCGTTTCATTGATTTAGAAATACTTAACTTTGTAGTTTCTACCCTTAGATGTCTAGAATACATGTCATTAGAGCTATTTCTTTCAGAAAATGAAAACAAGAGAGAATGTCTAGCTTCTTGTCTCTATATTAATTGCTTTATTACTCAAAAGAATTTTACTCATCGACATTCAACAAACAAAAAAGATTTTATATTAATACCAAGGCTGTATATGTCATGAGATCATGTGGTCAAGGTTATTCTAGATTTTCAAGATTTGTTTCATTGATGGACATGCCTAAAATAAATGACTATTAACAATTATAATGAAATTATTTTAAAATTAACTAATTCAGTAAAATGTGTAGCTGAAGACACAATGATGGATGCTGCTCAAGAATTAAAATATTTGAAAAACGATCATTTTGTTTAAACTCCATTACTGACTGTTTTCTCAATGCAATTGATGTTGCAGTATCATGTGATGGAACTTTGCAGCGACGAGGCTACAATGGTGATGTTTCTATTATTTCAATGGAAACAGGCAAAATATTAGATGTTGAAGCAATGAAAAAGGTATGTAAAGGTTGTTTTCTTAAAGAACACTTAAAGAAAGAAAACACATTTGCCTTTGAAAAATGGCACAATAAAAAAAAATGTACTCATAATTATCAAGGAGTATCCGGTGGTATAGAGCCAGAGGGAGCCCGCAGAATATGGAATAAGTCTATTGCAAAACATAGCATGTTATATACTGAATTTTATGGTGATAGAAATAGCAAAGGTTATGATTTAAACGGTACGAAATTTGCTGTAAGAGCTACGCTTTATTATGTTGCCTCATCAAAAAATGAAAATTTACATTTTTCTCACTGTCCTGAAGGTGCAGATAATGGGTGATGGTATAATCGACAAAGCAAATATTACCTCGACATATACGCCTGGCCCTTGTTTACCTATATCAATCGTTTGGAAACTTAAACCAATTTATGATGAGTTAAGTAATGACATTCTTTTAAAAAAATGTCTTCATGGCCTTACCCAAAATAACAATGAATCATTTAACATGACAATATGGGGGCGTTTACCAAAATGCTATTATGTTTCGCTTACACATCTTCAGTTTGGTAATTTTGATGCAGTTGCCCATTTTAACATTGGTAAATAAGCTAGTGTGTTAATTTAAAAAAAAAATGGATTTGAGACTTGGAATGTACTTTTTTGAAGGATGTAGGCAAATAAATAAAAAACGATTATATTTAGCCAGATATAAAAACAGAAGAAAACAGAAGAATAGATATTATAAATCTAATGAAAACCCATATCAAACTGGTGCATTTTAAGATTTATCTCATTTATTTTATTAAGATTTGCATATTTATGAATATTGTTTGGAAATTTTTTATGTAAGCATTTTTTAAATCTGTTTTTCTCAAATAGAGGTTTTTAAAGACGCCGGCCAACATATCTAAAAAACTAAAAGTGGTGTAAAGATGAAGTTTTTAGTATGAATGCATTTAATTGCCTCCTGTGATTTAAGTGTGACAGATTTTTTATGAAATTTATTCCAGTCCTGGAATAGGTCAACGAAGTCACAAAATTCGATTAAATTTTTAGCCCAATTTTTTTAACCTATTAAAAAATCATATGAAAATTCTGTTCCTCTCATATCACACAACAACCTTGCAAAAACAATTATCCAAAAGAGATTTAATTAAAATAGTGTAGATCTTGAGATACGCTGGCTGGGGTCTTTAAATAACTTTGTGGATTTTGGTCTATTTTATAGGTGCTATTGTTCCAAAAAAAAATCATTTTTTTTTTTATCTAATTTTGTTATTTATATTATGTATATGAAGTTAAATTTATAAAATAATAATTATCACTCAAAAATAAATTCAGAGGGGTATTCCACCGTAAAGATTTTCCCAAAGTCATTCTCTTCTGATAAAATGCTTTCATACCTACTTGGATCCAGAAGTTTACAAAAAGACATCACCCCAAGAACTTTTACAAGAAAAAAAATCACGGATGGAATACCAGTTAGCTTTAAGGCTAGCAGTAAGTAGTGCAATCTTAGGGTCTAAAAAAGAAATTTGAGATAAATAATTTAGAAAAATCATTGGCAGAAAGATTATAGTTGGAACCACTTACAGAAAAAAAAAAGAAACTGAGCACAAGCTAGGAGCAGAGACACAAACCAAAGAGTGATGGTAAGTGGGTTGTCTGGAAAACGAGTTGCAAAATTAACTACCTGATAAGAGAATAAGAAACACAGAACTTTAGTGCCAGCAGGGTCAGTGGTCTTAGAGCCAAGCAATTCGGTGCGATGACTGGCTGAAGAGTAAAAGAAAGGTATTAGTCAATTTGATCAGAAACTACATCTAGAAGAAATTACATCATTCTTGAGAACAATGAGAAAGGTGAAGAGGTGCGATACGGAAGCACAAAAATAATGATTAGAGGATTTAAACCTGGTTTCACGACAAATAGGTTAATTGATATTTAAGTATATTGCTATTGCAAAGTAAGTTACAAATTATATGACAATAGCTATAAACATTGAGATCCGAATTTGAAATAGCCAAATTTAAATTGATCTCATAAAGAGCAAGCAAGTCTGTTGAATTTTGCAAGAGCTAAGATTCAACTGAAGAAAAGTTTCTTCGAAGACCACAAATATTTGTAAAAGATTGAAACGTAATTATGTTTAATATCTTTAGCAGTTTAGTCATGTTTTAAGTTGAAGACTTGAAACATGACTGCTTGACTCATGATTGAAACATGACACTTGAATCATAGGTAGAGGATAGCACCCCAAGACCACAAATATTTGTAAAAGATTGAAACGTAATTATGTTTAATATCTTTAGCAGTTTAGTCATGTTTTAAGTTGAAGACTTGAAACATGACTGCTTGACTCATGATTGAAACATGACACTTGAATCATAGGTAGAGAATAGCACCCCAAGCAATGAGTTACGCAGTTGCCTCAGTTCTGCTAATTAAACCAAAGTCGTAAATAAGGGCTGGTAATCTGGCCTCGACAATGCGCAAAAAAAAGGTGCTCACAGGGATATCATCCATGTGATATATAACACTGTTAATACTCAAATGTTTAACAGAATTATTCTGCTAACCCACTAAATCTTTGCCAATAAGGTTTTTTGCAAGACAGTAGCTGGAGTTAACATCTGCCCAAGATGTTTATTTTTGAGACACTATCCCTGGTCTTAACTCAACCAGGAGCCCCAAGGCTGGGGTATTTTTAATTCAAAGTTTATTTCTCCTACCCTTTAAATATAAAAATCCAATCCTACGATGGGATAGGACATGTTGTACTGGATTACATGTTACCAGTAACACGGTGTTTGCAATGATCAATCTGACCTGACTGAGTTAAGTCGTTCGAGAAAAACTAATAGCAGAATAGCAGAAAAAAATAAAAAATAAAAAAAAATAATAAAAGAAAAACAGGAACTCTATGAAAAAAAAAAAAAAAGAAAAAGTTTTTAAAAACAAATGACATAAATTTTCTTCATAATTATTCAAAATATTGATTTAATAACCTTTAAAGGAATCTAAACTAGCTTATTTTGAGAAAAAAATCAATTTTAAATTTTTTTACATAAAGGCAAAAAAGCTGTAAAATAACAGTAATAATAAAAAGAACTTAAAATAAAAATAGAATCTCTTCTATGAAAAAATATTTTAATTATATTAATACAAACAAAATATAATGCCTCAACTAATTATAATAAAAATGTATAAAGATTTTGTCAAAATCTTATAAAATTACTTTATCAACAAAAACAAATTAACAACAGCCAGATTTACTCTTATCTTGACCAAGGTTGATTTTATTGGTATCAAGTTGCACAGGATTTTCAACACAACTAAGTAATGTCGCCATAGAATCTATAAATTTTTTAATACCTTTGTTTGTTTTAACAGATATTTCGAAAACATGCTCTTCAGGAATATTATGGCTTTTTGCAAAATTGACAGCATCTACCTTGTTTACTTCAGTATCTACACCATCAATTTTGTTGCCAAGTAAAAAATAAGGAGTGTTTTCGAGAATATAATTTTTTGAATCTTCTATCCACAGGTTTAATGAGTTAAAAGTTTCTCTTTCTTTAACGTCATACATTAAAACAACACCATTACTTAATCGGTAATAGCTACTTGTCATATATCCTGCAACTTCTAGTCCAGCAGTGTCCCAAAGACTAATCTACAATAGTGAATGTGCCTATATACTAACACATATATATATATATATACATATATATATATATACATATATATATATATATATACATATATACATATATATACATATATATATATATACATATATATATATATATATATATATATATATATATATATATATATATATATATACATATATATATATATATATATATATATATATATATATATATATATATATATATACATATATATATATATATATATATATATATATATATATATATATATATATATATATATATATATACATATATATATACATATATATATATATATATATAAATATATACATATATCTATGCATACATATATGTATAAATATATGTTTACATATATATAAATATATATATGTTTACATATATATATATATATATATATGTTTACATACATATATATATATATATATATATATATATATATATATATATATATATATATATATATATATATATATATATATATATGTTTACATACATATATATATATATATATATATATATATATATATATATATATATATATATAATATATATATATATATATATAGTATATATATATATATATATATATATATATATATATATATATATATATATATATGTATATACATATATATATATATATATACATATATATATATATATATATATATATATATATATATATATATATATATATATAATATATATATACATATATATATATATATATATATATATATATATATATATATATATATATATATATATATATATATATATATATATATATATATATAATATATATATATATATGTATATATATATATAAATAAAAAAATTATTATCAAAAAACTTGTTAATATTAACTTTTTTTATTTTTAGTTAAAAAACCATATATATATATATATATATATATATATATATATATATATATATATATATATATATATATATATATATATATATATATAATATATATACGACACATTCTAAAATGTTCCGTAATAATTCATCGATATAATACTTCTGCATAAGCATTTAAGTTGATAAACACTCGGATTTGAGTTCGGAGGTAGTTTTGTTTTGTTGTTGCATAATATATTATTTAAGTTGGAAGCTGAATTAAGTATAACTCTGACGTTTTGTTTTTTAAATTCTCTTCGGAATTTTGGGCCAATAATAAGGTAGTTTAACAAACTGTTTATCTAATTGTTTAAATGCAGTATTTTTTAAAATCTGATTAAAATTGTTTTTTGTTATTTTAATAAGATTACTTTTGTTATAGCCCTTCTCTAAAAATGATTCTATGAGGAAACCAATTTCTTGTGAGAGATGTTTTTTAAAACAGATTTGTTTTGTTCTACATAAAAATCCTTTAAAGACCCCAGTGATTATGCTTGGGTTGATGTTGGAGTTTTAGTGTAAACAATCAAACGTCATAATTTAATCGTGGGTCGAGGTAGAAGAAGCTTGTAAACCTTAAATAATAATCCTACTATTAGTAGGATCAACTGCGTTGCTTGCATTTGATGGAATTGCATTCCATACATTTACGCAATTAGAGAACAAATTATACTTTTCTTTGCCATTTTTAAAAACTTGCTTCGTCGTTGATTATGCACTTATAGGCAGTAATTAGAAATTGATGGCACATACACCTGCGGTAGGAAATTCTATTTTTTTGATACCACAAGCAATCTACAATTACTGGTTTATATCGTCTCGATTTCTTCTTTGTATAAAGTCTCTCCTTATGTGACTATAATGCTTGATTTCAGTGATTGTTTTTGTTTGATGAACACTTTCTAATATAGATATATCGTGTTGTAGATGCGGAGACCATGAAGAAGGAGGCTTGAATAACGAACTCAATATGCGGTCTGACATAAACGGTGTACAAGATTTTCCACAAAAAAA